AGGCAGATTTTGCTACACAAAGTAAATACAGAAGCTTCCTTTCCCCTAGATAAGAAAATGCTGAACATTCATTTCTGTGGTTGCAGAGGTGTGTGGGGGGGAATCATTCCGACAGAGGGATGATCATCTCCATCTCCCCCCACACACTACCCCAGGTCCTCTTTCCACAGCCTGACTCCAGTAGAGCAGCGTTTGGTTAGACAGAAAAGGGCCAGTTCATTGGCTGGCCCCCAGAGAAGCCATGCCAAGCCATTCCTGGCCAATAGCAGGGCTAAGGCTTAAACTGGGGTGTGTAGAACTGATTATCCCCTGTGGGGCAGAGGGGGACCTGAACGGATTAATACAGGAAAGGAACCCGGTGGTTATCTTGTCACTGGAGGTGTAACGTCTCCCCTTCTGCTCACCAGCAAGAAACCCTCTGTTGTTGCTTCACAGTGGGCTAAGAGCTGGGACTCCAGACGCAAAGACATACTTCTCCATCACATTTCTGTACATGTGCCCGGAGAGACCTCCCCTGCTGTTTCATGCAGCAGAGAAATGCAATCACATATTGTTTGTTCATTCCCTCCATCTGTCTAGGGAGTTAGGCCTTCTAAGTGAAGGTGTCCTAGGGCAGGGAAGATGGGTTCTTATCCAGGGTCTGTCATGGGCTTTCTTGGCAAACACATCACCTCTTTGTGCCTGCACTGCCTCCTCTGTAAACTTGAGATAATACACATTGTGCAAGGCAGTCCTGCTAATAAAGCCCTTTTGGGATCCCCAGGGGGAAGGTACCATAGAAGCTCAGAGTATTGCCTGTGTCCTAACGTGTTGCTGTCTCTGCTGAGTAGAATATTGTTCTTACTCATCATAATGCTGTGTGAGAATGTTGTCGGGTACTTGCAGCCTGCCCAAGATAAAACCCGACTGCGCCGCATTGAATATTTCATAGGTTCTCACCAGGTCCTTGTGCTACCCGCTCAGAAGCTGGAAAATATCATTCCTTTCTCAGCTGTTTTTCTTTTTTCACTGACCCCCCTTTCTTATGTGCTTCCTTTTTTGTGCAGCAGACTGGGAGTCCTGCAAGATGCCAGCAGAACTGTCAGACTAGTATTTGTTAGTGATGTGTCTGCTGGAGAGTCACAAAAGCATGGAATATTGGTTTTGTGCGGGTCCGACGGCAAAGGCATCCTCAGTTTGCTCAGCTGAGCGGCTGCATTAGCCAGTTGCCAGAAACCCAAGGGTGAATTGCAATTGTGATAGAGGCATAGACTGTAAGGTCTGAAGGGCCCTTCGTGATCATTTAGTCTGACCAACTGTGTCTCTGAGCCACGGAATCTCACCCTGTAATAGATCTCTAGCCTCTGGCTGAGTGACTGAAGTTCTCACATCGTGATTTAAAGACTTCTCCTTAGAGAATCCACCATTTACACTAGTTGAAACTGGCAAATGATCCCGGTCCCACGCTGCAGGGGAAGGTACCCGCCTTTGCCATCTAACCTTTACCCATCTAACCTAGGGTAAAATTCCTCCCTGACCCCAAATATGGAGATCAGTCAGACCATTGGTCCCCAGACTGTGAGGGATGCCCTCCTAGAGGGATACAGAGGAACATTCGGGGACGTGCAGCGGCCTTGGAGCAGCCCCCACGGTGGTGGGGAAGGAGCACCACCCAGTCCTGCTCCACTCCCAGCCACAGTACTGGCTCCCAGCCCCATCCCGGCCATGGCCCTAGCTGCACCCCAGCCTCAGCGCCCGGCTGTGGCTCTGTTCCTGCCCCCACATCTGCCCCCAGCCTCAGCCCCCTTGCACCTGTCTGTGTTTCCCCCTCAGCCACAGACCTGCTCCTGACCCCTACTCCTGCGAGGAGGCATGGACGGGGGTAAGGTAGAGTGTGCGACCCTGAAAAGTTTGGAGACCACGGAGTG